GTGCCGCGAAACGCTGTACTGTGCGGAGGACACGCATGCGGACTGCGCCACGGTGACCTTCGGTGGCGCTCCTTGTGGGGCCACCAAGCGCTGTACTGGGTAGGGGGAGACGCATGCGGGCTGCGCCACAGGGAACCTTCGGTGGCGCTCCATAAAGGGGCCACGAAACGCTGTACCAAGTGGGAGAGACGCATGCGGACTGCGCCACAGAGACCTTCGGTAACGCTTCCCATGGGGCCACGAAGCGTTGTACTGGGTGGGGGAGACGCGTGCGGACTGCGCCACGGGGACCTTCGGTGGAGCCCCTCTGGGGCCACGAAGCGCTGTACTGGGTGGGGGAGACGCATGCGGACTGCGCCACGGGGCCTTCGGTGGCGCTCCCCATGGGGCCACGAAGCGCTGTACTGGGTGGGGGAGACGCATGCGGACTGCGCCACGGGGACCTTCGGTGGGGCTCCATATCGGCCACGAAACGCTGTACTGGGTGGGGGAGACGCATGCGGAGTGCGCCACGGGGACCTTCGGTGGGGCTCCCTATGGGGGCACGAAACGCTGTACTGGGTGGGGGAGACGCATGCGGACTGCGCCACGGGGACCTTCGGTGGCGCTCCCCATGGGCCACGAAACGCTGTACTGGGTGGGGGAGACGCATGCGGACTGCGCCACGGGGACTTTCGGTGGCGCTCCCCATGGGGCCACGAAGCGCCGTACTGAGTGGGGGAGACGCATGCGGACTGCGCCACGGGGACCTTCGGTGGAGTTCCCTATGGGGCCACGAAACGCTGTACTGGGTGGGGGAGACGCATGCGGAGTGCGCCACGGGGGCCTTCCGTGGGGCTCCCTATGGGGCCACGAAGCGTTGTCCTGGGTGAGGAGACGCATGCGGACTGCGCCACGGGGACCTTCGGTGGCGCTCCCCATGGAGCCACGAAGCGCTGCACTGAGTGGGGAAGACGCATGCGGACTGCGCCACGGGGGCCTTCGGTGGAGCTCCCCATGGGGCAACGAAACGTGTGATGATGTTGATGATGCTGATGTTGATGATGATGACGACGGTGATGACGATGATGCTGTTGCTGCTGCTGATGATGATGATAATGATGATGATGTTTTTTTTTTTTTTTCTTTTTTTTTCTTTTTTTTTTCAGCCCCCGTTTTGGTTTCGGTTAGTTCTGACCTCGCTCCAGGCCACTCTGATGGCTGGGTGCCGTCGTGAGTGCAGGCGGAGCCTGGCATGAAATGCTTGCTGAACAGTCGCTCTGCTGCCCAGCCGCACACTCGTGTGTGCATGCACAAAAGCGTCGCAACAACTGGCATATCGTAGCAGCGCAGCAGGAGAGGGGGAAGGAGCAGTAAGGGTAAACTCAGAGAACCAATCACCTTCTATGTCATTGAGGAACGAGCCGAGATGAGAGACCAGGAGATGGTAGAGGCACGGGCAGGTATTGTAGTGCTTCAAATCGTCTAAGTCGGCGCCAGACGCTGGCCGAGCACAGCCAAATACACAACCACGGGGTGCACAATGGAAACGAGAAGTAGTACATATGCCACGACATGCAATACGTAAGATGGACACGCCAATGTAAGCTTGTGATTTCTTAACCACGTACTTGATACATGAGATGAGCTGTTCAACATGCATAGGTGTGATACCGTGACGCCATGCACAAAGACGCTGTAACAGACCAGACTGAGGACAGTGCTCGAGCGGTGTCGGAATGGCTAGCTGCAGCTGCTTATAGAAAAACTTCTGCACCCTTTTCCGATCAAGATCTTGCGGCAGCAGGCTAAAGACAGAGGCATACACAGTGGCCGTGTGCAAGATGGACGAGAGAAACCCATGCTTCCACCACCCCATCATCCCACGAGCAATACACATGTCATCACTGCTACGAACCTCTTGCAGACGAGCGAGGGCAGGCTGAAGTGCAGGACACTTGGCGAGTAAGCGTAGCTGGCTAGCACTGGCAAGGACAGAGAGATTCGGGAACTCGATGCTAATGCCCAGGCTGCGCAGACCCATGAGCATGTGCTTAGAGAAACTGTGACGCGGAGCTGCATTCAGCAACTGCATGGCCCTATCATTTGCAGCCAACAACGCAGGCGATGGTGGATAGCATTGAAGTGTGAATTGGAGCTTGGATAGTGCTAGACATTGATACGATGAAATAGAGTGAGGGAGACCAAACCCTTGCTGACGGATGGCACGATATCTGGCAGTAAAAGCAGGCAACACTTCATCCCATGCATACTTGTATGCCTTGGGACCTATGAGGATGCCGAGGTACTTACAATAGTAGGCAATCTGCAGCAACGCGAAGGGCTCACCTAGATCCTCGCAGAGCCTGATAAACATGTTCATCTTAGTATCCCCGACCAGAAGGACCACACATTTTTTGAAATTCAGGTAGAGGCCAACCACTTGTAGTCGCGCTGTGCCAGAGAGAGATGTTTTCCTTGAAACCACGGAAATTGTTTTTAAATAGGCTGAAAATAGGAACACGAAGATTTGATGAAATAGGTTTAAAATACAATTCAAATAGGTGAAGCTGTTTTTTTTTCAAAGGGGGTGTCGTAGTTCATTAGCCCCCAGTGTAGCTTTCATGAAAACCATCACTCTCAGGCACACTCAACTTAATAGTTGCGATGACATATTGAGGGTCTCCTCGGGGTCCTCGCGGGGGCCGTCTAGTGGCATGTGGGGAATCTCTGTGGCCATCCTAGTGCAGCCGTCGGTGGCCTTCTTGGGGCCGTGTTGGGCCGTCTTGAAGGCCATCTTGGTTGTGTCCGAACCCACGCCCCCGCTCCGCGGCAAACCCTGGGGGGGCCCTGGGGGGGCGGGAAATGTTGTCACTGACGCAGCGCGCCTTCGGAACAGCATAATGCCTAAAGTATGCGTAGGGCACGCACTCACAATGCCACGATCCCTCATAGAGTACGCTGGATCCGCACCCCCGTCGCCACGACCCCTTGTAAATTGTACAGGATCCGCACTTCCAAGGCCACGCCCCTGCGCATATTAGAACGAATCATTGAGAGTGCTAGCAGCACCGATTTTCATCAGGCATCCCACCGAACCACGTGAGGAGACAACGACACCTCAGGAAACACACGCCATACATGTTATGGACGCGCTGGGTAGGGAGGGTTTAGAGTTTTGGGTTTAGGATTTTGGACGTCGTCGTCGTCGTTGTACGCTTGCCTCCTCCCCCTCCTCCTCTTAATAGCGTCATTGTTCCCATCGTCTTCCAACTTGTCCTCGTTCTCCTCGTCCTCCTCCTTCTCCTCTTCGTTCTCCTCCTCCTCCTCCTCCTCGTCCTCCTCCTCGCCCCCCCCCCTCGGGCGGGGGCGCCTTGGCGGGGTAGTCGCCGACAGGGTAGTCGCCGACAGGGTAGTCGGGCGCAGCGGCGCGGGAGGGGAGGGGGAGGCAGGGGAGGGGGATGGGGGAGGGCAGAGGCGGGGGGGGGGTGAAGGGAGGGGAGGGGGGAAGGGAGAATGATGCGAGGGGAAGGGGAGGAAGGGGGAAGGAATGAGGGATGACCGAGAGGACTGCTCCGTAAGAAGGGACAGGAGAGACGGGTGTGGTAATGGTGATGGTGGTGATGATGCTGGTGATGATTGTGTCCTAGGTGATAGGTTATTGCTTTGTGTAGTGTCGGCTTGTTTGTTTGATGTTTGTTTGATGTTTGACGCTTGCGTGACTGTTGTTGTTTAGCAGCCTGCGCGCAGCAGGCGAACCGCACGACCGAGCTACATTTGTCAAGCCATATCTGTGTAAGAGCAACCGCGTGCAACTTGATACCATATTAAGTTTTCTCATCCGTGTACATCACGTCATACCTCACATAATGCTCTGCATAGCGATGCCCTTGTCTAGGGCGAGCTGCACTGGCTCGAAAAGTTTGTCCACCCCCCAGCTGTCTTTGTCCGTCTGCACTTTCAGCAAGTACTTCTTCAGAACCACTGCGTTGCTCCTGATCTTGCTCGCTCCGTAAAGCACTGCGTACTCGAGCACCGTCGCTGCAGCTCGTTGCAGGTCTGCCAGGGCTGAGGTCACACCGTCGCTGGCTGTCACTTCGATGTCGAACTTAGTAGAGAGAGTCTCGAAATCGTTTTTCAGCTGGATCTTCGATTCGACCTCGGCCTTGAGGAGGTCGTAGGGCATGTTATTCAGGAAGTCTTTCGAGCTCTCCAGCAAGCAATCGAATGCAATCGATGGGCTGATCCCGTCGCGCCAGTCCTTATCCAAAGCCCCAGCCTTGAGCTTGCTCAGCGGCACGCTCTCGTTCTCCGTCATGAGCTTCTTCTCCGTCGCGGCCCGTTTCGCACTGAACAGCAGCTGCTTGAGTGCCGCCGTCTCTGGTGTAATCGACTCCATGAACGAACCCTTCACGATAGCCGCCTCGCAGTGGGGGCTCTTATCCTGCACGCCCTCGTACTGACTCAGCAGGCCCAGGAAAGCGCCCACTGAGTGATCGGCTGCAGCGGCGGCGTCGTCGTCAAGGAAGACGGTGTCGGCGTCTTGCGGAAGGATGGTCGTCATTGCCCCCGCCAAGGATTTTGCCAACTTCGCTCTGCTGAGTAACTGCTCGAAGGACTTGAAACCAGACCCATCGGGAATGACGCATGACCACTGCAACCATTCGCTTGCTTTCAAAACCCACCTGAGCGAAGCATCGAACAGCGGATCGCTGGAGACCTCGAGGGTGTTGCTCCGCTGCTTCGTGACCAACTCCACTGCCTGTTTCGAGAAAGAGACGAGCTTCTGCATGGACGCCTCTGGCGCCAGGTCCTTCAGGCCCTCGATCTTGTCGAACTGAGCCACTGCATATACGAGCATCTCCAAGTTGAACGTTCCGAGCTTATTGCAGAAATTCTCCACGAGGTTCTTCCCATTATTCTGAGATCTGAAAGAATTGATCGAAACCACTGCGTCATTCCAGGCCGGGTGAAAGCCGAAGATGGAAGTCGCCTTCTGTGAGAGAGTCTCCACATTATGACTGAACTCGTCGGTTGCCTCGTGCGGGTTATCCTTCACATGGGCAGCGAAGTGCTGGAAGAAGCGGCCCAGGGCACCGCGCGACACCTGGAAGAAGGAGCTGTACTCCACCTCAGGCAGCGCGCTTTTGATGATGGGCAGGTCCTTGATGATGCCACTGAGGGTCTGGAAAGTCGGCGGCTCCTCGGACTGCAGGGCTGCCGAATGCTTAGCCATGGCAGGGCGCCACAGCTTCACCTGGGGAGAGTACTTCAAGTAGTCCTTCAGCTTCACCTTCCAGTAGGGCTCATTCGACAAGACGCCGTAGACGGAGCCCTCGACCGTAGTGGCTTTAGCTTTGCCCAGCTGCTCCACTGCCGCCAGGTTTAGCGTATCTTCGGTCAGCCCCCCAAGCGTATTCATCAGCTGCAATATCGTCACGACCTCTGCAGCGGCGTTATCGATTTCTGCCTCGCAGGTCATAGGCATCGCCTTGATTTCGCCCATCGCCGCGGTAACGAAGTCGAGGGTCTTCTGGTGCCCGTTCTTCCCGAGGTTCAAGAAGCGCGGCAAGAGGATCTTGCAAATGTAGTCCTTGAATTCCGATGCCTTCTCCCCAACTTGCACGCTCATCAAAGATAGAGTCGGGGCCTTGCACACGAACTTAGTGACATCGTCAACGTCTCCGACCTCGCGATGCCACGGCAAGCACATAGAGATCGCAACTCCTGGCTTGGATGCCCAATCCTGGTCGCTCTTCCAATCCTCCAGCGCCCTCTCCCACAGCGCGCGCTGGAACACCACGGGGACTCTGGAGACGTCCTTGTCGATGTCGTCTGCGAGCTGCGCCAAATCTTCTCCGTTCATCGTCTTGATGGCCTTCGCCTTCTGGTCGCCAGCAGTCTTGCACTTCTCTGCTAGGTCCAACCACTGCGAAGCCACACTGTGGTCTGGATCATCCTTAAACTTGGTCACGTTGTCCCTGAGCTGGCGCACCGTGTGACCCAGCTTCTTCCCCGCCAGCAGCTTGTGGATCTTGCAATTGTGCCTCGACTGTCTGCGGTCAAGCTCGATTTTGAAGGCTGCTGGGTACCCTAACGTATGTTCCCCCTGATGGTTTAAGCTTGGGTTGGGGTGGGGTTTTCTCAGTTTTTTTGGAGCCTGCTGTTTTAAACGGGTGGCTTAAGTTTGGGTTGGGGGCCTTATGTTTCGTATTGCACACGCAAGTGTACATGCACACGAGTAATCCGTTAGTCTGTTAGGTGTGCCTGCCAATAATATGTCATTACATGTTTTTTTTCAAGGTACCCTTGCATCCCACAAAACCTGAGCTTGGTCCAACCGAGCTTCGTCTGCTTCGTCTCTTCGTCCGTCTCGCCCGAGCTCTCCGCGCCCTCGCCATCCTCGAAGCTGCTGGCCTTGTCGGAGGAAACCACGGACATCGCCCCCGACCTCGACAGCGGCACCGCAGAACCAGAACCAGGCGAGGCGGCGGCGTCGAGCTGCGACAGGAGAGACGCGTTCATCTTCACAGGCGTCGTGGCTGGCGGGCCCATGGAGCCCATATTGGCCCCGCTCGCCGCCTCCGTCGGCGCTGCAACCGCAGGCGCAGCGGCCTGGGCCGCCAACGGTTCCAAAGTGGGCGCCGACAGCTGCGAACCCGACGGCGCCGAACCCGAACTCCTGGCCTTGAGGGCCTCGTTTCTCGCCTGGATCTCCTCAGCCGTCGCCTTGTCCTGCATCCCAGTCAGGATACTCTCGTGAGTAGGCGCGTTGAAGAAGGCCTTCAGGTCCATGCAACGGTTCTCAACCATGGACTGCATCTGCATAGAGCCCTGCTGGGGGAACAGCTTCTTGGATGCAGGCATCGCCAACATGGAATGGTTGAGCTCCCTGCGGCGGTAGATGTTCACGACGGTGTGCGGCTGCTCAGGGTTCACCTGTACATAGAGGTTCCTTAGGGCGCCGCTCTGGTCCACCACGCTTGTCGGCTTCATGTCGATCTCGCTCGGCTGCTTTTTGTAGATGTCGACAACGTCGCTCTCCTTCAGGCAACGGAACGACCAGATCGTGTCCTCGAAAAGGCCAGACTTCTCCCCCACTGTTTCTTGGGTCTCCATCTCTGGTTTCACGCCGCCCTGTTTCTGCAGAATTTGATGCGCATTGTCAAAGCCAGCCTTGACTTTCTCGTTGCTGTGGTACTGGTCAGTCAGCGTGTCCCAGTCCCAGAAGGGGAACGCGAACTTGTGCGTCCCAGAGCACTTCCCGCACTTACACGCAGTGGCCATGTCGTCATTCTTCTCGCCACAGATGCCGCAGCCGATCCTGGGCTTCTTCTTGGGAGGTTTCCCGTCGGCGGCCGAGGGCGGGACTCCGAACTCCTGCTTCGGGCCGATCTGGTAGGTGCCCTTCCCAGCGCCCTTCTGAACGGCGATGGGGCCCGCGGTGGCGGCGGGGCCGCATATCAGCTGCGGCTGCTGGTCGTCATCATCTACGTACTTACGCTTCCCCTTGGGGGGCATAGAAGATGAGAATCTCAAATCTCCTGGAAATGCTCAATCACAAATGGCTGTGGAGAACAACGGGTCTGGAAACATTGGTGCTTGCCAAGTTCGCCATTCGCTGGAGCAATTGGACAATCTGTCAAGACCATTGGCAAAAATCTTCAACTGAGACTCCCACATGCACGGCTCAAGTCTGGGATTTCGTCCGGCACACAGGACGCGACAGGGAAACATAAAGTTGCAGTGCAATGCAGTTGCAAGCCATGCAGAAAGCAACGCATGCTGTGCAATTCAATGTTGGCATTGTCTCCCATCGTTATCCCCTAAGATGGCTCCCCCAAGATGCCCCCTCCAAGATGACTCCCCCTAGACTGCCCGCCAAGAGGGCTCCACCAAGAGGGCTCCACCAAGAAAGATCCACCAAGAGGGCTCCACCAAGAGGGCTCACCATAGATTACGCCAAATAGGTTGCACCACATAGATTGCACCACATGGGTTTCAATGCATATAGATTGCACCACATAGGTTGCACCACATAAATTGCACCACATAGGTTGCACCCACGTTTCGTATTGCACCACATAGATTGCACCACATAGATTGCACCATACGACGACAACAACTGGACGAGGACGACGACGACAATGCTGAGACGCAGGAGGACGCATGACGATGCCATCGTTCATGTACGCGCGCAAGAACTTTGCGCCATGTTGGAACTCTGTCGCTGCTAGCCGTCTGCTGCACCAAAGTGCACACAAGGCCAGACTAAACTGTGGATAACCTCATGCGGCATGCGCACCAACGCGCGCACGAGGCCAGACTAAACTGTCGATATGGAGCAATCGTATCTCTGTGTGTCCTCCCTCCGACTCCACGTCCCTCATTGCTCCTCGTACCTCCTCATTCCTCGCCCCTCATTCCTCCTGCTTCATTTCTCCAGCCATCGTTTATTCATTCCTCAGTCCTCCTCCCCCTTCATTTCGCAGCTAGGCTATCAGCTGCTTACCTCAGCGCATCATCTCAAAGAGTCTTCATCAGGCAACGTGTCGTGGAGAGAATCTCCGCCGAACGGAGGCTGGGTGCCGTCCTCAAGCATTTCTGCCATTTCTGCCTGCATAGCGGGGCTCGCCACGGGGCCGAACGGCGAGGCCCTAAACACAGGGGCCAGCGGAAATGCCCTGCCTGCTGAGAAAGCTCCCGAGGCCCACCTAGGACGAGAGCTGCTTGAAACATTGACGTTTGCGTTCTCATTGTTCACTGGGGCCTCGCCCTGAGACTCTACGACTGTCGGCGCATCTCCTGCCGCCGCAGTCAGGGTTCCCTCCGAGGGCAACAATGGGGTGGGCTGGACACCCTGCGACTCTACGACTGTCGGCGCGATGTCGGCACCCAGCCCAGATGCCAAAGACGGCTGCATTGGCTGAGGGTGCGCGCCCACGGCCCCCTCAAACTTCGGCTCAGGCTGAGACGGCAAAGCCCCCGATTCATCTTTGGCAAGGCCTTCAGACCCCGCGCCGCCAGTTACGCCCAGGACCTCAACATCTGATGACGCCTCTGCGTCGTCACCTGTCTTCAATTGTTTCTCTGAACGCGATGCTGCGGCGTCGTCACCTGTCTTCAATTGTTTCTCAGGTGCCGATGCTGCCGAGGCGGCCGCCGACTCGCGCTTCTTGGACACAATAGTGATCTCTGCTGGGACGTGGAACCGAAGGCGGCCCTCGAGGTGCGGAGGGAGATCGTCAATGATCGCTTCGAGCCTCAACGTGGAGCCCCTGATCTTGTGAACAACTGGTGGGCCCCGCTGATCTGCGCCGTCCGCTGGCTGAGGCATGAGAAAGAAATGGACACACGTGAGTACTGCAATCACATGCAATGAAAGGGAAGACAAACATTCTTGCTGCTGAAACGACAATGGAATCGGCGATGATGAGATGAGGAAATTCGTGTCTAAGTGTGTCTGCTGTAGAACAATTCGTCCGGTCACCGAACCGACCCGCGCAGAAGAGCCACCGACCTCGAAACCAATCGCGGCGGCCAAAACGCGCCCCTGGAATTGTACCGTGCCACATACCCTTGCCGTCCCGTAAACTTGACGTGCATGAGCACGCGTGCTATAGTTCTGCCGTTGCACGCCCACCAGAGCCGACTCAAAATATAATGCTCACGGGCTAAAGTGGAGCCCCCAAACAGCCCTACATGGGCCCCAAGACAGCCCTACATGGGCCCCAAGACAGCCCTACATGGGCCCCAAGACAGCCCTACATGGGCCCCAAGACAGCCCTACATGGGCCCCAAGACAGCCCTACATGGGCCCCAAGACAGCCCTACATTGGGCCCCCAAGACAGCCCTACATGGGCCCCAAGACAGCCCTACATGGGCCCCAAGACAGCCCTACATTGGGCCCCAAGACAGCCCTACATGGGCCCCAAGACAGCCCTACGTGGGCCCCAAGAACCGCTGGACCAGGGTCCACCAGGCGCGTAAGTGTGTTAGTGTTTTTGGGTCTTACGGTGTCAGGGCATTGGGTTCTTAAGGTCTTGACGGTTCAGGATTTGTGATATTGTTGCCCTGTGGCAGTAAAACATGGAAACATGAGAGCCGTAAGTTTTAATGTGCATCAAGGCTAAAAGAAAAGCAAACTTGGGCCCTAGAGTCCCAGGGCTTTACGGTCTCAGAATCTCGCGTGCATCAGGGTCTTTGGGTTTCAAGTGTTGGCGGCGTTTGTGATCTCGGATGTTAGGGGAATACGCTTTTAGGGCAGTCGGCCTTAGAGCACGAGGGGGCTAGTGCATGGCGGTATGAGTGTCTAAGGGCAAGGTCCTAGGGCTTCCCTCGAGCGTGCTTGGGAGCAGTGTTGATGAGCACGCGCGCTACGCTCCTGCCGCCGCGCGCCCACCAGCGCCGACTCATCATGAGGAGTTAGGGGCTTCAGGTTTCACGGCCTCGGGGCATGTATTAAGCCTCTGGTCCTTGGGACCTGAAGGCGCTGGGGCCCTAGGGGTTAAGGACTGAGGAATTTGGTACCATAATATTTTGAACTCTTCGGGCTTCAGTGCTTTAAGGTGGGCGCGACGCTCCTTCCGCGAAGGGCCTCAGGGCCTCAGGCCCCCAAGGCCCCTGACGATCGAGGCATTTGAGTCCTAGGGTAGCGCGGTGCAAGGGCACTCGTGCATTAGCGCATTCTGGTGCTATTGCATTCGGCGGCATGGCAGGGGGTGGGGGGGGGGGGGGGGGGGGGGCTCAGGTACATTGGTCTTTGGGGCGCAGGGTCCTAGGGTCTCAGGGTCGGGGGGCACCCATGTCATAGCGCGTTGGAACCCTCGGGAAGTAGGGCCTAACGGTCGCTTGGCCCCTGGCCAAGCGGGTCTACGGGCCGAAGGGTGTCATGGCATTAGGGGCGTGAGATTCTGACGCTTCACCATCTTATGATAGCATGGCTCTGTGGCAGTAATGCACAGTGGCGCGAGGGTCGTATGTCTCAGGGCCCCGACGGTCTCTGTCTCAGGGAACTTGGGCCCCTGAGTCTGAGGGCATCGGGGTCGCAGAGCCCCGTGCCCCGAGGTCTGCGGGTGCCGCGGGCTGTAGGATTCTATTGTCTGAGATATCAAGGCGGTCAGCTACTGGGGCATTGGGGTTTTCGGTGGGTCCAGGACATTAGGTTGTGGCGGTGCCAATGTCTACGGCAATGGCCTGAGGGCTTCCCTCGGGCGCGCCCGAGGGCCCCGCGCTCGCTCGCGCCGAACGGCCGTCGGCGCCAGGCGCCCAGTCCCGCGGGTGGGCCCGCCCCGCGCGAAGGCGCGACGCGCGCGCGCGCTCCAGCCCCTGACGGGGCGCGCCGACGAGGGCCGCGGCCGCCGCTGACATCGGCCGACAAGATGTCCGGGCCCCCCCTCCCCCCCCCCCCCCCCCCCACCCTCCCCGCCCCCCCCCCCCCCCGCGTCCCGTCGATTGGCGGCCGCCGCCGCGGCTCTCACGGGGGGCGCGCGCGGGCGCCCTCGCGCGCGCGGGCCCGCGCGCGCACTCGCGCGGCGGCCCTCGAGCCGCGTCGGGAACCGAAAAAATATTCGCGCGCCGCAGACAAACATAGCCCCGCCTGAAGTCTGAGGCCGCGCCGCGCGCGATGCGCTGGCGCGCCGCGAGCGCATGCCTGTTGTTTTGCTGCTGGCGTCCGCGAAACCATGAAACTGACGAGGGGCGAGGGCGGATTCTGGCGGGGGGGGGGGGGTAGATTGACAAAATTCGACCACCCCCCCCCTCCCCCCCCTCGGCCATTTCACAAATAACACCAAAATAGCTTGCAAATAGGTTCCAAATACGCTCCAAATAGGAATCAAATAGGTTTCAGATGGGTCCCAAATTGGTTCCAATAGGATTCAAATAGGCTTCAAATAGTGTCCAAATAGGTTTCAAATGTGTTTCCGAATACGGTCACAGGGCTCTCACAAAGCACTCGCACCACTCTCTATTATGCCCCCGCGCACACCCGCCCCGATTCGCCACGTATGTTTCAAATAGCCCCTCGCACCCGACTGATTGTCCCAAATAGGTTTTCAAATAGCCCCTTGCCCTCGACCGACCTTTTCAAATAGGTATTCAAATAGCCCCCCCTCCCTACCCCCCCCTAACACAATAGGTTTTATTTAGGCGGCTGAAATTCATCGATGTAAAATTTAGCTATTATTTAGCTATTTTGACTTCAATTTACATTTTATTTTGCCATTTTGGCTTTAATTTTGGTTTTATTTTGCTCGCGCCTTCTGGGGGGTTCGTAGGGGTCGCCCTCGCCCCCTTTCAATTTTGCCCCCCCCACGCCTCCTCCGATTTCAATTTTGCTTTTATTTTGCCCCCCCCCCTTCTCCGCCGTTTTAATTTTGTTTTTATGTTGCTCACCCCCCGCCCCGCCCCCCCCCGCCCCGCCGCTCCTTGCAATTTTGCTTTGGTGTTGATCCAGCCCCTTCCACCCTTCCCCGACGCCGCGCCCGATCGCGCGCTGCGCCCCGCGATGGGCCGCCGC